ACTGACATGCTGCTTGACTTTAATGGAGTGCTGGTCTCTTATTTAACAAAAATAAATCCTATACACAAATACCTGTGAGGGTCATGGCAGAATTCAACACCATTCCTATGTCAACAAGCAACTGAGAAGAACTCACCCATGTATTTTTGTCAGCTGCAATGGGCATTCTTGTTTACCATCCACACACACTTACGCGAAGGACTTACAAAGGCTATGCCTGAGCTGAAATTCTAAACACAAAAACTGGATCACGAAAAAATAGAAATATTTTTTTAAATTAGTTGCTGCAGAAGTCTGTGACTTTCTCAAGAACATTCAAAGAGAAAAATCTATCAGGAGATGGTAAGTGGCAAATCCTGATTAGCTAAAATAATCAGCATTTCACTAAAAGGAAACACCCAAAGGAAAATAAAATTATTCTGGCTATTTTCTCTTTTCTAGTGCAGTAACATGTATGCTTTATTTTCAGTTTGTTCCACTGGAGCAGAGGAGAGAGAGATAAATGAAAGATGAGAGCCATAATCCACGAGAGCACTCTCAGACTTCCACAGATAGTGAAATTTAGCATTGACAGCTATGACAGCAACTCATCTCAGAGTCTAAGCTCTGCTTTGGAATCAGGGACAGCACTATAAAGAGCAGGGATAAAGAACTCATATCAGCCTCTGCTGCTAAGAGAGGCAAGGTGTAAAAATAGGCTGCCAGCATTGTAAACCAAGAAGGAAAAACCTCTGTAGCCGCCCTCTTGCCATTTTATTCTTCAAATTGCTGGTGTTAAGGCAGAGTGGAGTTTAAGTTTAGTATTAACTACTACAAAACTGCCACAACTATTTGTATCGTTGTACAGACCTAAAAGATCTGCTGCACTATATACAGAGGGGGCATCTTGTACAGATGGGCAACAAGCTCTTGACCTGGCTGGGACATGCTCTGAATGAACTCCAACTCCCCCCCTCGACAACCACATCTAGAGAAGCAGTGTCACACCCAGGAACCTCTCCAGCTGACTGGTGGTAAATGGCTGCTGCGAGATCGTGCAGGACATATATTGCCCTCCATCACTCGTGCCAACCTTAGCACCAAAGCATTTAAAGTCATGAGGAGGAAATGCAGGCAGCCTTACAGAGAGGAAAGCATGCACGCAGAGATGAAATGGCTTCTCCTAGCAAGCCGATGATAAAACCAGAAGTGCCTGGATCACGCATCCTCTAAGCAGGTATGGTCAGATTGTTCTTACTTTGACGCTTTTACTGATGGAAACAACATGCAAAGCACAGCTACCCACATCTGACACCGCACATCACGCTACCTGCCCTTTACACTAGCAAACTGCTCCTTTGTTTTAAAAGAACACACTCCACAGGATCAGGGTCTGAGTTTTTGGATCCTTGGTACTGTGATCGCAGTTATTTGCATGGTAACACTAAGGTGCTCCCACATTCAGCACTCGCAGAGGGTTCAGAGATAGGCAAATAATCTAGGGAGAGGGAATGAGCATCTAGGCCTGGCGTAGTGCTGCCCAGCACCTCAAGGCAATGACGACTACATTAGCATGTAATGCATTCAGGACTGTGCACACACTCCTATCACAGGGCCTTCAGCAGTATTAAGAACAGGAAAAAACCCCACAAAAATGGGCAATGTATACAATAGCTATGTGTCCAATACTCTTTGGGGATAAAGTTGCTCTTCTGCTGCTACAGCATACACTTCCACATCATTCCCCAATTAAATCAACAATTTGAAGTAGCCATCCCAATCTTAAAATTGCTCTCTTCAATAAAAAAGGAAACAAATGAGCAAATGCACAGAAGAGTCAAAACTACATTTGGTAAATACCAAGCAGATGAATAGGCAACAGTCTAGAAATTGATAAACACAGATCTAGAGAAGGTATCTCCAGCACTTTAGAGCACCCTGGAACAGATTACTCTAAGTCCTAACTGGTACTTCCACTATGTATGTATATATCTATACACAAAATGCTTGTTTATATATACACACATAAAACAACTTAGCTGAAATAACAGATTTTTTTCACATACTTCTCAAGCTGAAGAGATTTCTTTTACCATTTTGCTGTACTTTAACAATATATTAACTACAGAGCAATTTCATAATTAAAAGCCTTTAATTAAATAAGATTAATTAAACATGAGACAAGCACAAATACTAAACAAACCACTTCAGAGAAAATCCAGAATCTGACCTAGCAAAATTACTTTATATGCAATTACACATGCTGTGAATTACTCTTTGTAGATAATTGCCTTGGCTGTCTCCTTAAAGTCAACCAACCACATATTAAAGTTAAATAACATCAAACCAAAAAAAGAAGTCAGGGCTGATAGGAATTGCAGTTAAATGCATTCATTGTTTACATATCTCAGCATTAATGCATTATTGGTTCAAAATAATTTACCAGTGGACCTTAATAATACAGAATACTTCTGAAGCTAGCTTTCAAACCTCAAAATAAAAGATAGTATCTTATCTAGAGATTTCTCCATAGTTTACTTAATTTCCTTCAAATTACTTCTCAGACAATAATCTCAATCTTGCAAGTATAACTACCTTTATATATTGTTGACTCTTAGATGCATTTCCTCGAGTATTTTAACATGTTCTTGCTGTATGACACAGTAGAAGTAAAATGACTCATTTTTCATTGGAAGGCCGCCTAACCGAATGAACAAAGGAAAGGCAACGCTTAGGTCCTACATGCAGTAATGGAAAATTTTAATTGCTTTTGAGATCTCTGGCATTATTCTTCCTAGCAGACAGGCTCAGACCATCCTTGCACCCAAAACCACACATGCTACACTCCACAATGTCAAAGAATGAAGTAAAGCAATATGAAAGGAGATTCACTGACCACATTTCAAGAGATACCTATATTTGTTTAAAAAATTCACAATTTCACAGCCATCAGTGGGAACCGCCAACGCATCTGGGCAAGAGGGTCACACAATTCAGAAAGCTTCCACAAAAGGAGTGGAAGCCCTAGAAATATTAGAAAATGAAAAACTTCATTAACTTTTAATTGATCTCTTAAATACAAGTATGAATACTTCTGATAAATTGATACAGACTAAGGATTTTGGTTCTCTGCACACTTAGATTTCAGATGAACCAAAGCTGCAGAATACAAACTATCTAGTCTGTTTGGGGGGGGAAAAAAAAACCACACACCACAAAATTAAAAAAAACTTTACTATTTCAATGAAAATTGTCTATTTCTGGATGTTACCTATTTTTAGGCCTTTGAAAGTTAGACTACATTAATGGGTTTATCTGCACACAGAGTAGAGATTTCCTAGTCTGTTTTCTAACTTCACACTTATTACCAGAAAGGTGTGAAAATGACAAGTTTACATTTTTAGGACCCTTTTCCCCTTAGCAATATGGGAACAGAAACTGGAGCAGGGATGAGTTCCACCAGCAACAGAAACTGAAGTTCTAATTATAGTCTTTCCAAGGCAGACGCTCCAGAGGTAGTCTGCCAAGACCTCTTTCATTAGTGAAACAACCTCAAACTCTTTAAAGAAGTGTAATCTGTCAAGACAGATGGAAGAACAGAAGGCAATTTTAAATAGGTTTAATAAGACAGTTGCCTAATTTATTTATTTTTTTTTAACTGAAGGACATAAATAATCTTTTCAAAAGGTTGATATGCATGGAAGAACTTAGCCAGAGAAGAATTAAAGTCCTAGAGTTAAAATGCAATGTACCTCACAGACTTAAGAAGAGTTTATATATGTATTTGTTGCAGGACATTTAAACCAAACTGCCGGGACAGTGACATTTATAAGCACTTGAGAACAAACTCTGTTCTACAAGAATTTTTGATTACTACTGACTTTCAGAGCCAAAAGTTTTATTGTCAGCATGTACAGCATGTGCAGTAAGTAAAATGAACACAAACACAAGGTTCATTAATAAAGTTAACAGGTGAATGTATACAACATTTTTTTCCCTGTTACCTGGTGGTCCATGTAACTGCAATTTGAAGCACAGTCAAATTATAGGAATGAGCCTATAGAGTCTTTAGAAGTTCAAACTGCTTAAACAAAATTTTTCCATATTGCATGTGTTCTAAGGCCATTATTTGTTTTATGAGCTACCCTGAAATCCTGATGAGGTAACTTAATTTTCCCCTCACTGGATGACAAATTACCCTGCTTACTAATGTTTGAAAAATTACTGTCAAGAAACAACAGTAACTGAGATATGACTGCTATTTTCTATTTCTTCATTATGCAAATTGTTTGAAAATTGAAGATATTGCATGTGACCTAAAAATAAATGGACTTGGTGATCAAAACCACGGTCTATAAGACAGGTTGCTGATGATCTAATGTAAATATTGACTTAAAAGAAGAGGCAAGGTTTTCCTTCTATCTAGACACATCACTATTGCATCAGTTAGGAGCAGTCAGTTCTTCCTATATATGCCTGTGCAGCATGTTTTCTTCAATAAAAGAGATATATGCTACATTCTTATTGACTTCTTAACAGCTGTAGTAACATCCATTACATTTGTGATGTGAGCTCCTTGTATGGGTAATGCCAACTTGTAATTGCAGCCACAATGTAATTGAACGCAGCCTTTTATAAGGTTCTTATACACTCATACATGCAGTCTTCTAAGCATAACAAGCATAAGGGTAATGTTTATCCATAAACACCACTTTATTGGATGGCTTCAAACAATAACAGCTATTTTGTAAAGCTTCTGTAAATTACTAAAACTCCAGGAAGAGAATTATGCTACACTAAACCATCACCAAAAAATAATCAACCATCATCCAATACATGTTTGAAACTGATGAAGTACCACCTCAAAATAATAAAATAATGCTTACAAGTCTTCAAACAGCAATGACCTCTCAGTCTCAGCTGAATCAATGCTACTGCTTTGCCCCAGCTATGGTTTCTACCCCTACCCTACTACAGAGAGACTTTCTGCTTTTTATTACAATTATTCAAAGAACTCTTACCTCTCCATCTCGTATTCTTTCATACCTGCTTTTACTGCCTTCATTACCTGTAAGATACATATTAACATGGGACATTCATAGCAGTAGGGAATCTCAGATTTATAAATTTACGACTTATGACTATCTCCAGAGGAACTTACATTACAAAAATATAATCTGTACTTCATCTAAATTTACATCAGTAAATGCATTTTAAAACCATTAGAAATCAAACTCATTTTAATCTTTATAAATGCCTGCAGTCTCCAGCAATAAAGCAAGTTTAATTGCCAAACTACTACATCCTTAAAAAGTACAGCTCATCAAAATACCAATGCTTAATTCTGAAAGCTCTGGTGAACTTGGCAGCAAGTCCTTTTGTTTGACTTTTATGAAACACCAGCAAAACAAAACTGTGAACTGGAATATACTACAAAGGGAGATTCTCTTTTATACTTTGCAATCTGAATCAGCAGAAAATACTAGAGTTAACACTGTTTTACAACTCATAAGTCTGATTTTATTCTCAGATTTGCTGAGAACGTGCACCAGTTTTATTCCTTTGCCTGTTTCTGTATTATAAAAGTTCTAGGCAGCTGCTCTGCGGAAGAAATGCTCTCAGACATGACAAGATTATTCAAGGATGATGAAAGACCAAGAAGAATAAATGCAAATTACTATCTGTAGGCTTTGCAATTTTACAATATTCACTTCAAAATATTTTTACACTTCACAGTTCAGAAATCTGAGGAGCAGGAGCAAAGACAACAGTTGAGTCAGTAACCTCATCAGCTAGTTTCACCTAAGCTCCCTCTGGTCATCGCTCAGAACTCATGGCATCTCTGCATCATTAGATGGAGTACAGGATTGACACCCAAGTTAATGTCACCAATACGAGCAGAGCAATATGACTCCACTGGTACAGTGCTAGGTCCAACCTGAGCAGCCCTGCTGAGAGCTTGTATTTGTCTTTGCCACTCTGCTATGTTAACAGAACAGCATCGTGAAGCACGGTACTGGGGGACACACCGACCTCTGAGGAGCAACCCAGGAAATCCTTGCACTATCCTCCACTGTGCATGGAAACACTCCTTCGGTTTTAAGATCTGGAGAGAGTAACCTGCTAGTTAAACTTTTCAGAGCTGCAAATGCTGCCATGTGCCAGAAGAATAATCTTCTTGATCTCCTCTTTCTCCATCACTATACAGGTATTTGCGCATACAGGACAGATAGACTGCAAGCTGTTCACCTTCTGCTGAAGCTCCAGCTCCTATCCAAAACCACACTTGATTTCTCACACATCGCAAATGCACCAGTGAGTTCAAGGACAATGCAAGGTATATTACTGGGCTGTAATAGGAGGGATATTATCCTCTTATTTCTATCCAGCCTTTCCATTATTTTATTACTAAGCAATTCAGGGTTGCTGGGAACATTTTCTGAGTACCACTGCTACACTAAGAGCAAAAATTATTAACAGTAAAGGATCCATTACCTCTTTATGAGCTTCACTGGAGATTTTATTGGTGTAGCGCAGAACTTCCAACTCCATGTCTGTCTTAATCACACGACTTAAAGAAAAGTAGAAAAGGTATCAGGTTAGGTTGCAACTTCACAGCTTAAGAATACAAAATTTTAAAAATGGAAATAATATGCAACACCTGTGGTCAAATCAGATCAAGTATACCTCAAGAGCGAAGAGCTATTACAGTATTCATGACAGCAAAGTTTTGTTGGCATTGATTCATCATTAGCAAAACAATTGTACAAAGGGAAGTCACAAGCATTTCAAACATCAGCCTGCATTATTTTAATACTAATAAACAAGCGGTCCAACCAACATTTTTTCAACTCATTCTACAATACATTAGGAACAAAAGCAATGTATTTCTGCATTTGTCATGGCTCAAGCACTACTTCAAACGGAACGTTTCTACAAGCACATTTGATTTACTTTTTAAACACAACTTGAAACTAGTTTACATAATGAAATTCCCAGAGCTCCAGAATGTCTATTCAGCACAATCCCAACTCCCACCTATTTGCAATACCTCAAAAGCCAGCAGGGGAGGCAGTGTGAAGAGATGCTATGTGTGTTTGGTATTAAAAAACTCAAAACATGAAATTCAGAAACCACAGCAGCAGTAATTACAGCCATGATGTCCACTGTCTTTCACACACTTCTGGAGCAAAAAAACCCCATCATGTTCTTCATGCCTTACGAGATACTGAATTTGTGTCTATTTATGAGCCTTGACACTCTGTTCTGAACTCATCTCAAAAATTTACTATTAAACTCTTATCTACTTACACTGCTTTCTACCATGTATTTTAAATAAAAGCAGCTATTTAGTGTGACATGAAGAGGGAAGCAGAGATAATTCTATACCTTCTATTAAAAATCACCTACTCTTTTGACTGCTATACATACTGATTTCCTAAGATTTCTCATGCCCATGTCAAAGGCAGCTGTGAAGTACATACTTACTGTTTATGAAGAACAAAACTATATCTATTGAATTGCATGAAAATATTTAAATTGTGTTTTCTAGCTCCACTCCAGAGCTTGCAGCAGTTACAAAGTACCATAACTGTTATATTTTGAAACTGCCACCAAGACACCCCTTTTTATTATAACATGCTTCTACTCACACTGCAGTAGAAAACTATTTACTGTATTTCTGCTCCTGTAGTTTGTTTTAATGAGTCCAGAAACAGGTTTCTCAGCCATCAGTGCCTCTGATCTGTGATACGAGCATTTCCCACAGACAGCAATTGCATTGCTATGCGGCACCGCCACTCCCCTTGAAATACAACTTTTCTGGCAATAGTAAAGGTACTTTTGTAAAAATGCTGATATCAATCAAAATGCTCTTACAAACAGAAACACAGTAGAGAAGAATTGATTGACATTCTTAGTCAACTGGAATGTGACACAAAATAATCATTATGAACACTGAGAATGAGAAGTACAAGGTTTTAAAATGCACACCGTGGTGAAAAAATTACACTGGGATGGTATATAATCTGTTCACCATGGTTGAGGAAACCAACTTCTGTTTCTGCCTTTCTGCCAAGACATAAAGAACAGTAGCTCAAATATATTCATGTTAGAATGTGGTAGCAAAGGCTTATAGATTTTTTTTTTTTTAATCCTGTTCTTCGGAAGACTGTGCTAGCAGGATAATTTAATACTTGTTTGATGTGCCTTTATATTACTTTCAATATACAGTACACATCCCTGATCTGCAAGTGCCTGAAAAATAGGTTGCTTCATAATTCAGCTGTATAATCTCTTTATTGGGATCTGCTAGAAATACAAGTTAGTAACTGCTCAATGGCAAGTGCAAACAGTATCAGAACCTATTTTACTTGACTAGGTCATAAGGCTTCAGAGTCAAGGTATTTATTTTAGTTCATAACTTCTCAGGTATTGTTTTGCATACACAAATTCATGCTCAGCCTCAGATAGACTTTTTATGCCATGCATCACCTTCATTTACACAAGGTCAAGCACTGAAACATTTTACAGGAAATGTTTAGTCATTCTGAGACCAACAAAAAAACACAACTCAACCATTAGCAAGGAAAAGAGGATGTACAGTTGTGCAGGGGTCATGATCAACTTCACCCTCCACTAGATACCGAAAAAAAAAAAGTGGGCACCTATGTTGCCTGCAGGAGTACCGTTGATGGAGTTCCCACTAGCATATTTGGGCAGCAGAAGGGCATGTATTTCACCACCTTTCCACTGTTTGATGGCAGAAAAAGCAATGTTCTCCGAAGCCACATTTAAAGCACTGCTAGCAAAGCACTCTGGTTAGCACTGTAGGGCAACCCTGTGGGTGATGAGCAGTCCACAGTTCTCATGATATCCTCCCCCCGTGTCCAAGATACGAACAGGAAGAAAGTCCCACTTTCATTCACGAATGTGAACTTCAACACTCTATTAAAAACAGCTCTTGGACCAGTTACACACTCTGCATATGTTCATTAATATTTTAATGGGAACAAATAATTTCCAGGTTCCAGCTAATGCAACTGCAAAAATGTACAGATTCAGCATGTAACGCAGTTCTCAGAGTAATAGCCAAGACACTCAATGCAGTCAAGTCAAAACAGAAGCACAAATCTCCTGCTGTCAGGATCAACCTATAACTTTTAACCTTTCTTTTTTCATTTTACCAGTGTAAAAACTCTCCTCCTTCCTCACTCTCCTCATTTACATACATTTTCTACTTTTATTTGCACTTGCATATGAGCAGGTGGTCTTTTCATGCATGTCAGTCATCCAACAGAAGAGAGAAGCTTTAATATAAACAAGTATTATTTTAGTCCTGAAATTAAATTTGGGCAGTTTAAGTGGCTGGATACCAAATTTCATGCACAACCTATTTTCCATTACTCAAATGGTCAAGAGCATACAGAATTCAAGGCAATTAAGAGGCTGAAACTTGCATAACTCAAGTACATTCGCCTAAACCAATGCTTTCTTCAAAGACACACAAATGTTTGCTTCTCTATGCGCATTCACCATTTCTGATAGTACTGCCAGAAGTACTTGCTCACAGACACCAGCTAAGTGTTTATCAGCAGTCTTGTTTTGTTGCTTTTAAGTACATGCATGTAACTTGAATAGCTGCTTTTGGTGACATGCGTGGAAAACATCTGCGTATGTCCACTCCTCCTTGTCCTTACGTTTACAGACCGCTTTGTAAGTAGAGATGCTACCCACGTAGAGAGACTGTTACTGCCTTGTCTTCGCCCTTTTTCACCTTTGTTATAACCTTTCCATGTTTTATCTATAGAAATTTCTCTACATACTTGATTTATGCTCTCTGCAAACTTTTGCATAAAAACTTGCTACACCAAAGCTAGTAAACATAGTAATCCACATATGCAAAGGAGAAGCATTACAATTACGAAAGACAGCTGCATGAACACCAAACATAAGAGTTTATCTTGAAACAGCTCAAAGAGATGTTAAGAGGTTTAAAACATAAAAAAAAAACCTCTGAAAACACAAAAAGAGTATGCCTAGCTTTAAGAAATTAACATACAGATCACCTCCCCAAAGAAACAATGATAGCTTTCCATCAAAGAAATGCAAAATATAGAATACATGAAATCTTCCACCCATAACTATCAAACCCCATTTTCATTGAGGTTGCAGGGAAATACAGTATATACAGGCACAAAATGAGCCGCACATCGCTCAATGTTTATCTTCTAGCACCACCACTATTATGGCAGACAGATACCGGTATACTAAGGTGACAAAAGATTATTTTGCTAAGTGCTAGTATAGAAAATTTTCCTTATGATTATTAGGGAGATGATTTGGACAAGTTTGGAGTTTGTCTTCTGTTAGATCATCTTTTCTTTACAAAACAGTGAAATCAATACTTAGCATATACATTCTGTATCAAATTTGAAATGGAAGCCTTGAAATTTAAAATGAAAGGGTTTAAATGTGTTTGGAAAGACATTCACTCAATTAAAAAAAAAAGTGAAAGCACCCTTTGCAAAGTGATGAAATCCATTCTAAGGTCAAATTCTTTTATGTTTTACCCTTAAGTTTCATAGCAAGTCAGAATATGTGAGGTTTTGAAAAAGGATGAGTAAGCAAAGGAGACAACAGATCCTTAATCACACACGCTTTGCCGCTTGTCAGTATTGAACCATTTTCTCTACATTTTATTAGAAGACTGTATAATACTAGAGTTGCCTTTTGTAGCTCACAGTTCTCCCTGGCTGGTTCATAAAGCTCAGCCATTTCACCTCTTGCTGGCAGTTTTGACAGCATGGTATAGATCAGAGTTTTTCTGACAAGTATAATGTAAAATAGAGTAGTTCAGAGCTTGCTGAATTTGAAATGATATGCATCCATGCAAGCATACGAATCAAATGAAGCAATTTCCTATGCTAGAATATAACCCCCCCAAAAAATCATCTTCCTAAAAGAAAAGTATTCTTTATTCTAAAAATATTATTGCTTTCCAGAAGTTTCTTGGGCAATAACTTGACATTCCAAGGAAACTTCTACTTTATGCAGTTCTAATACACACAGCCTGTCATTCACATATTGATTTCACCAGACACTTAAATCCTAACAGCAGTCTCTAACATACTCCTGACGTAAAATGAAAGCCACCAAACTCAATGAAACCTTTTAAAACACTTTTGAATGCAAATCTGAACTTTGACTTCACTTAGAATTCCCTTTCCTTGAAAGCCAGGTGGAGCGAAGATGCATACCAAGCATCTCTCCTCTGTGAGGTAGCAGAGAGGACAAAAATCAGAATTCCAGGCTGGCACTCACAATTCACAGAAGAGATTCTCTGAACACCAAAATGAACAGCTCCAAGTGCTGCCTTTCTACTGCCTATGTGCTCCATCTATCTCAGTACAGCCTCAGGGCATGGACCTCATGTTTGTCCATCCCTGAGCCACTTGAAGAAGATTTAAACCCCCATTAACCCAAACCACAGAGGAGAAAAACTTATCAGGTGACAGTAAGGTGGATGGAACCAGAATGAGAGCTAGCTTGGGAACAAGCTTATATCTCTAATCCAGAGCTTTCTGCAGCTAAAAGTGTCGATCTCCCTCCCTGTAGTGCTGCTGTATCTACCCATCAAAGCTTGGAAGTCAGACCAGGCCCTCTACAGGTCCCCTTTCTTGCCCCTTGTCTTTATCTGCAGGCAAACAAGAGGACTGCAAACATGACACTGTCAGGTTAAAGATGTAGCTCCCTCCTCCGCTCCTCAGCTTGTCAGGTCATTTGGAGAATCCTCCTCTGGCTGCTGGGCACATGATAATGAAGTGTCAGAGGCTGAAAGTTCCCAATGTCTTAAACATCAAAAAACCCCCATGGCCCATACCAAACCAACCTACTAGAAGTCAGGAGCAGCCACCTCCACAGGAAAATAAGACTTTATTAAGAACTTCTAACTTGAATTATCCTATTATTTTTGTAAGCAATGTAGCATGCCGTGAGGAGCCTCAGAGCATATGTGAACATTTCTAGATCTTCCCTATCAATATCTGTAATGACAGAGGCTGGACTAATTAAACACTAATGATATTTCAAAAAAACCCCAGGTTTTGCCAAGCTCCTTCTTTACCCAATTGTGTTTAATTTGTGCATCTGAAAAGCACACTCCTACACATCAATTTCTGAGCTTGTGTTCTGTCTACATTACTCAGGACTTTGCACCTCAAGGGCTGCACCAACTCTTAAATTCAAAAATCAATTCTAGAAGATTAACTTTGTTTTGGAAAAATAAGGATCCAAATTCTAGAAGGACAGAATAGGCAAGATTTAAAAACTGGTACCCTGAGCTTTCTGTGCAACAAAGCACTCACACTCCCCCTTACACTCATGATCAGGATATGCAAACAATGAGTCCCACTACTACACATCTCCAGGTCCATCCATGACTCAGTGAGGCCACAATGTCTAAGCAAAGTTCCCTCACTTACCACTTTCCTTTTACAACTTTTTAATGTAATTCCAAGCAGTGAAAAATGGCTTTAACAACAAAAATGTGACCTATTAAATTCTACATGTTCTGAAATCACATTGGTGTTCAAAAAACACCTCCACAGTTTTCAATCTGGCAATTACATGTAGATGAAGAGAGCAGAAGATTGTTCTCAGCATATGTGCTGAGATAATAAACATTAAAAAGAACAATATGTAGCTGCACATAATACAAGGAGTTACAACAGCAGTAGTCAGAGTATATGCTTTCCTGTTTGTATTTCAAGATTTTCAGCTTATCTGTCTTAACTAAGGATTTGCTTCCTCATTTCTAGATTAATACACTGAAAAAGCTCAGATAAAAACCAAATTCATTAGCAAAAATCCACTATGTTGTTTCTTCAGTTAATTTCCTAAATGGAAAACTACGGAGTCCTAGTTATGGAGCAATCCTGAGGACAAGGTCAGCAATGCTGACCAAAAGAGGAAAACTGGTAAAATGAAGTAGTTTTGCAAGCTACTAAATACACTTAGTCACACTCTCTAATTTTGTCTATTCTAGATAGGCTACAGCAGAATTCCCCTAGAACTATAAAGTACAGTTACATGAATAATAATGCAACCAAATTAATGTTGTTAAAATAAATCCTAGAGAAGTAATAACACCTGATTAAATACTACCTGTTCAGACATAATTTTAATCTACCTTTGATTTTCATTGCTAGAATATGAATTATTCTCAGTTCTTCTCCTATTCATGCAAATTCACATTTACACATTAACTCCTGGCATGTTCTACAAAAAAAGTATATCCAGACACAATGCTTAAGAAACATTACATAAATTCTTAACTTTTCAATGCTGTTACCTAGCCCTCTTTTTACTTTGGTATATTATGTCCACCCCATAATGTGAAATCAGCTTAAAATTAAAACTCATAGTAAAGTACGAGGCTTCTGCAGAGGGAATCTCTCTGAAGCAACAGTACAGAATATCAACACATTCAACAGCACTCAAAGATTTTATGCTACTTACCATTCTGCAATTTCAGGATGAAGGATTTTGTTGTTCACATTAAACCTACAAAAAACCAAAAAAAGCACAAATATTAAACAAACAACCAGCAACACAACAGCAGAGAGTACATATTTACTTTTTTTAAAAAACTGTATCTTCTCTGAGCATGTGAAAACTTGTGAAAGCAAATATTGTACTGGAATTCAGTATAGATCAGTATAGATCCCAGTAAAGAGAATACACATGCTAATCTTCACTGTGCAAGTATCTGATTTTGAAATACATGAGAAAAAACCAGATACGTAATTTTATGAATGTGTAGATACCAGAGTAAGAGTATGTTCAAGACATGTTTATTAAACTTCTTTTGACAAAGACAAAATGTTATCAATTTGCTGCTCTAAGCATGGGTTGGACCAGATCAACCTCCAGAGGTCCCTTCCAAACTGTTCTGTGATTTTAACTTCGCTCATCAAACAATCTTCAGTGAAACTGAACACAGTGAACTGCTAATTTCATCCTTTGTTTTGCGCCTTTCGATTTTTGTGTGCACAGAATGTGGCATGTGATAAACAAGCCTGCTTAGATGACTGTGAAAAGGAAAACAACCTCTCCTTGTCTTCCAGTCCACAGAACAGGCAAAGCAAAAGCTTCCACCTCACCTTGGCCTCAAACACTTAACTATTTTGCTGTTTATTTTCTACATTAGCAATTCATGTATTCATGGAACTATTTTGAGGCTCACTAAACAATAACGTTACAGTGGCCAATAGAGTAAGAAGATGAGTAATTAAGTGGAACACAAATGGATTTTCAAGCATTGTTCACGGGTTTTTTTTCTTTTTTTTTTTTTTTTTTTTTTGCTTACAATTTAAATGCCTAAGGAGTGTTCTGCATCAAAGATATTTTTGTCTGACTCAGGACTGTTGGCTCTTCAGTTAGGGCATTTCAGAGAATTAAAATGCTCCAAGGCTCCCAACAGATCTTCAGAAGAATGTTGCAAGGCAACGATTCATTTGTGCACATTTTTGAAGAAAAAATAAAACCTATTCTAGGTTATTAACCATTCTTTATACCTCAGAATGGACCAACCAAAGCAAAAATCCAATTAAAAAAATTATTTAGAAGTCACTTCTAATTGTACCAGGGTCTTCCTGCATCTTCAGACAGCAGAAAAAAACCCCTATGCTTCTTTTTTTCAAAAACATATGCTCATAAACTTATAAAATCCTAACAAGGTGAAGGTTAATAGCTTTGTGTTCCTACTCCAAGACAGAAAATAACAACTTACCACAGCATTCAACAAAGACAAACTGTATAGTATTCAGTATCACAGATATTAGTTATAAACCACTGGAAAAGCAACACAATACAAAAAGCCACAAGTCACAGAACAATGCATCATTATAGAACAAAGTGTTATGGTGTTATGGTTCTGAACTCAGCAAACACATACCACACAGCCGCTCACTCACCCTCCCCCCTCCCATGTCTGGGGGAGAGAATTAAACGGGTAAAGGGAAAAGAGACTTGTGGATTAGGATTAAAAAAATTTAATAACTAAACCACAATAAAAAGAAAAACAATCATGATAATAATAGTAGTAATATATACAAATATATGAGTGATACGCAGTGAAACTGCTCACCACCCGATGACCAAGGCTCAGCCTGCTCCTGGCTATGTTCCCAGAACAGGCAGAGTCCCAAAACCACAATCCCGTAAAAGAGATAAGAGCCCGAGCACCCAAGAGACCAAGAGCTGACTGAGAGAGCGAGATGACCCCGAGGGAGGTGCGACCCAGAGAGAGGGTCGCTCCGGACAGAGCCTCATCTATATACTGGGCATGACGTGCACAATAAGCAATACGTCATTGGCCAATTTCGGTCTCAATCCTAAACTTAAGGTTGAATCCTAGGCTAGTAACTGGGGCTGTTCTCCCTCCCAGCTTCTCCTGCACCTGCAGACACTGGCTCAGCAAAGAAACTGAAAAGTCCTTAACTGTCCTGACAGCAACTATAAACATCAGCATGTGATCAGCCTTCTTCTCTGCACAAATCCAAAACATGGCTTCTTACTAGCTACTAAAGAAAGTTAACTCTGTCCCAGCTGAAACCAGGACACTTGGAAACAAGTCTCATAAAACCAGAGAAAAAGGGCACTTTTTCAATTCAATCACCAGCATCCCAACAACTATCACGTATGTACACCAATACAGAAATAATTCTGGAGCGGAAGAGTCAGGAAAACACAAATTCATACAGAAGAAAACATAAAAATGATATAGCAAAAACAATCTATAAAAATTCTAAAAAAACCAGAAGCTTGAGCTCCTCATTTGGCTGGAAAGCATACCATCTGACACCACCACAAAAAAAACAAGACACAGAAGAATGCAGCTGCAACAACAGACACGAGGACATTCAATAATTGTCATCAGTATGTCAGACAGAAAACAGATCAATGAAGGCAAGTGTAAGGAGACGCTGCAGCACTGCAGAAAGCTCCAACACCAGCTCTATGCAAATAAGACAAGTATAAACTATGGTTATTATGAAGTAACAAAAGAAAATAAAGGGCACGGAAGCGCAGGTACAGAAGGCAGCTGACTTAGACTCTGAAAATTTATATTTCTCCTCTCAAGAACCTGACACAAGCACAAACGGATGAAACCAAAGAAAAAATGAGCCAAACAATAAAACTATGAACCTCGTAACAGAGAACTGTCTCTCATCTGAGCATTAAAAAACCAAAACAAAACAAAAAAAAAAAACAAAAAGGGAAAAAATTATACACCAGCATAGGTTTGTAATAGCTCAAATAATGCTCCTTTAGAAAAGCAATTTCTGCCGAGAGATGTACCATCTCTGTCACAGTCCCTGGACTTTACCTTTCCTGGCCCTAAAGGCTCCTCTTGAACCATCTTTGTGCTACCAGAAATGCAAGTTTTACTCACTGGCTGGGACCACCTACTACGTGGCAGCTCCTTAAAAGCTCTAGTTGCTGTCACTTGGGGAAGCTAATTAAACACACAGAAAGGCAGCAGTATTGAAACAGGAGGACCCTGGGGGGAGACGAGAAGAGGCTGGAGGTCATCAGCCAAACAGCAGTTTTATCTCTTCCCTCAAAGACATACTTTCTGATATAACGTTAAACATAAAACAAGATCTTATACCTCCAGGACAGTGCATCAATTCAGATTTGGAAGAAAATCTGATGTTTTTTATGTAGCTTTTTCAAGGAAGACAGCGATTAAGGATTGAACTGTCTCAACCCTGCTCAGATCATGATAGCCATAGGTCCTGTGTGTGTGGCCACAGGGCCACCTGTTTACGATTGATAGACTTCTCAAGCTAATGACTCAGACTATGCTTCACTTTAGTTACCAACAAGGCAGCTAAACAAACCACATTCTAAAAATTACTGGTTGAATAACAAGCTCGAGGGGAAGAGCCTGTCATCACCAACAGGAGTACACAAATGGTGTTTAATTAACATAATTTGTGTATAAAGTCCTACATAAAATCACTCTACCTTGTCTTCCCAACAAAGTTTTGATCATGCTAGACAATAAACAATTTACTCTTAAAAATGGCCCTAATGTTAAGAGGATCATGGAGAGCAATCCAATCCTACATTTTCCTGCAATTTGCAAATTGACAATACTTAGATTATGAGATACGTGGTCTTGAGGAAAACAAACTGACATTTTGCTGCAGTTGCAATCTGTAATGTATTAATGCTCCCATTTAATCAACACAGAACTAAGAAGTACTACACTGAAAAGCATGTCCAAATTGATTTCATTCTCCGTTGTCCTTTAACATGCAAGAAAATTTCATTAGTTTAAAAAGAACTAGAAATCGATACCTCCTGTATAATAACACTGTATAATGAGACTTTTTTTGTCAGTTGAACTAATATACTCTGTGTGTATATGGTGATAAAAATCTAAAACATATTCATACACAATGTCAGAATTTTCTACACTTCTTCAACACGGAGAGTCTTTCTCCTAACGACTGACTTTGTTACACAATAAGGAAGAGGCCATTTAGAAGGTCTTCACTGTCATACCTGACAAGTGCAGTTCTGAGGGAAAGGAATTCACTGAAAAACTTTAAACATTAGGTACAATTGCTTAAACTGTTAATCGATTCCGAGGATGAAAAAAGAAAAGCAACACAGTGAGCAAAGATATATTCAACAGTGTTTTAAAATATATGGCACATTACTGTTTAACCAGACAGGTTCAAAGTCCACTTCTGTAGGGTGAGTTACATTATCTCAAAGCATTAGCCACCACATGATTAGATTCAAAAAATACCAGTCTGAAAAATGGATCCATGAATTAGGGAAAAAAAAAATTGAACTAGCTTTAATTAGCAAATAGAAATACATATTTCTACAAAACAATGCATGAGAAGTACTTCAGAAATCTGCCTTCTACATTTAAGCCACCTAAAGCAAGTGAGAGCAAGTAATTTCTGCATGATTCCTAACAGCTGCAAACACAGCTGACCTGAAGGGAGTTACCAGGAACAACCTGAGAAAATGGTCCAGGCCTCCTGTCTTAAGTCCTGGTCCCAGACTGCTCCCTCCACTGAACCATGGTACTACCCACCACTGAGCAGGGTGACTTCCCAAGTACCCCCATTCTCCCTTTTTACAGATTGCAGCAACATACAAGCTTTTTTTAGTACAACATACCTTGCTGTATGAGGGAGTTACATATAAACTAATGGAAGCCACGCTATAATTCACTATTATGGGCTCTATTATCAGCATAAAATCAAGTTGGATCATAGCTAGCAGGACAAAAATAACTTAGGGGTGATCTTCAGGGTGAGCATAGAAATAACCCGTGACCACTGTAGTCATTTTGTCTCAAATGACTATATATTACAGTGGAAAAATTAATCAGATAGTTTAGGTAATTATGTTCCAGAATAAGTTCAAAAGGTTCAAAAAGTAAGGCAGGGAAGAAACATCATGAGGGCAAGAAAAAGGAAGCTTCTGACAGGAGCAGATGAACAGCCTGCAAAGAGAGCACGATTCAGCTT